GTTGTACCAAAGCGCTGCACGCCGCGCTGCTGGCGGGCGGGCGGAGGGCAGCTCCAGGCCCCGCTGCGGCGGCTCGGACCTGCCCGCCCGCCTCCCACCTCCGCCGGCAGCCCGGGCAGCACGGCCCGGCTCCTCCCGCCACCGCCGGCCGCTCCCCGGGCTCGGCCGGAGCCCCGACGGGGCGGCTCCGAACGGCCGCGGAGGGCTCGGCCGGCCGGGGCGAGACCCGGAGCTTTGGCGGGGCCGGACGAGCAGGGCTCGGAAATCTCGACCGGCGTCGCCCACCGTCCTCCGCCGCTCCGGACCTCCCGGGGCGGGAGCGGGGCCGCCTCCGCCGCGCGTTTCTCCGCTGCCCCCGCCTGTCCTGTCGCCGCCGCGGGGCGCCTCGCCTGCTCCCCCCCCCGCTCTCCCCCGCCCGGGCCTCCCCCCTCGTCCTCGTTATTTCCCCTTGTCCCGACAAAGCCCAGGAGCCCCCGAACTCGGTGCGGAGAGACCCTCATGTGCACGGCCCGGCCGGCCCCTGGGAAGGGGTCACGGCGGGGACCCGTGGTGCCCCCTCACCCCAATGCTGAAGCTCCGAGGAAACAGCCCCCCCGGCCTGGAAAGCGCCGGCTCCTCCCTGCAAAGCCTTCCCGAGAAGAACAGGGATCTGAGACGAGGAAAAGCATATTTATCGGATTGGCATTTTTTTCTCTCTTAACAGCACTTCTTCCTAATGATATTTACTTAACTGCATTTGACAGCAGTTAAGAACACGTCTCCTGTAAACAGGATCTATTCTCCTTCTGCCTACAACTGCCTGTCAGCTGCAAAGCCAATCGCAGTAATAACCGCTGGATCATTTTAAATGTGGCTAAACCTACGTTGGACAAAATCAATCTGCCATTTGTTGGCTCGGAAGGAAATCACTTGCACAGTTTGACGAATTGCTTGCAATACCCTTCAGCAATTCTCAATCGCATCGCTATGCCCCTTCCTCGCAGCCCTCCTCCTCTCTGCTCCGTGGGTTCGTTTTATTTTTTTTTTTTTTTACCCTTTCGCTTGGACTTCAGGTAATCTGAAATGGCACTGACCCTTCTCATCCTTCCGATTACCTTTCTGAAGCATGAACGTGGTATAAAATCACACATCAGAAAATTCACTATAATTATTTTGCAATGCCATCAGCACAGATCCATCAAGGAGGAAACCCAGTAGTGGAATGCTCCTCGCAGCCACATGAGCGGCCAGTCCCGTCCCGCCTGAGTGACAGCTTTGGTAATTAAGTGATTGTAGAGACCTCCCCAACTGTTCTAACAACCTTGTCAGGGCCTGTCTGCGGACAGAACAAGCTGAAATCAATGTGCTTTCTGCTCCCTGAGCATTTCTGATCATGTCCTCAGCCTGCAACGGGGAAAACATTTGACAAAAGAAAAACAGTAGCAGTAAACGTTAAGATTAATTTTTTGGAACACAAAGTTAACTTTTTTCGATCCTTTTTTTTTTTTTTTTTTTTTTTTTAATCCTTTTAGGAAGGGAAAGGCAGAAGGCAGCGGAGAGCCGCTGCCCGCCCGGCGTGTCTGGCTGGGACGAACGGACTGCGGCCGCGCTCGCTCCGCGCCTGGCTCCGCGCTGCTCCGCGCCGTTTTGTTCCCGCTTGGAAACGTTCTGTAGCCTCTCTCACAACGGCCCCAGTTACTCCGAGGTACAATATATTTTCGCCTGGATTAGACGGCGAGTCTGTTGGCACAGTGTAAATGTCAAGCAGCAGCTTTTAATAAAGGGATGTTCAGACTGTTAAATTTCACAGTACAACGGGCTCGGCCCCTCCCGGCCCCCTCCAGCCCCCCCTCCCTCCGAGCTGCGGTGCTGCCAGTGAGCCAGCACGGCTGCGCACCAAAATTGGAGTAGGAAGTAACCCATGCCGGGGCCGAAATGATGCACCGTGCCATCCCCGAGCTGTTTGGCGGAGGGACCCCCAGGGCCCCGCACCCCGCTCCTCGGGGTCCCCCTCGATGCGGTGCGGGCTTCCCGCGGGGGGCCAAGGTGGCAGGTGCTGGACCCCGCTCCCAGAGCCTGGGGCCGCTCCGTGGTGCCTCGGCCGGGACCGCCCCCGGGCAAGGACCGGCGTCGAACCGGCACATGATACCCCGTCCCTGCCGCTCGCTGCCCCAGCCTCCATCGGGCCATTGATTAGCGCTCTAAGTGCCGCTCTAATTAGCTGCCTGCTAATTAACGAGCGGGGCCCTGTCCGACTCCTCTGAGTGGCACCTTCGCTCATCGCTTTGATTCGGCTGTTGCTGATTTATTGGAGGGGGAGCTCCGTGGCTTTGCCCGCAGTCAGACGGGTGGGATAGATGGGAAAGGGGGGTCACCCAGCCAGGGGCTTAGGGGACACGGGGCGGCAGCTGTCATGATCCACCCCCGGCCTCAACAAGTACAAGGGGCGTCCCGCTGGTCACCGCGCCCGCAGAGGGTGCCAGCAGGAGGTGGAAGGCCTTTTGCGTCAGATGCCCCCGCGTAGGGCTGATCAGCGCTCCGGGAATCCGAACCGGCCGTCGGTGACCACGGAGGAGCGGGCCAGGCTGAGGCTGCGGGAGCTCCGGGCTCAGCGGAGCCCGGCCGGGAGCAGAGCGGCTGCCCCGGCCGGGGCGGGACTCGCCGCCGCTTTCCCCTAAATATTTCTGCACAATGGAGTCGAGGATTAAAAAATAAGAGGACGGAAATGAAAGGTGTTCACTCTTCAGGAACATGACTTTAAGCCCTAAATCCCGATTCCGGGACGGGGAAGTGTATTGTGAGTTAAAGGATTACGCTAGTGTAACATATTACCCCGGATCCCGCATTCCCCCAGGGATAATTAGGACATAGTTTTGGTACATTGCAAACCAAGACAGCAAGATAAACATGAGCGCCGCGGGCTGCTTCCCTGCTGCAGTAAACCTGCCTGTGCACTTGCAAATATTGAAATATTTTTCCCTTTCTCCTGTTCTTCCAGTCCACTCCTCAGTTTCACCTCTTCTTCTCTCCCCTTTTTTCTGTTTGTTCCTTCAGATGCCCCGGTCTTTAGGGACGTGCTGCTAAGAGCTCACCCCGCCGTGCTGCCAGCCCTGCCCGCACCGGGGCTGCGGCGGCCACGCGGACGGGGACGAGGACGGGGACGCCCGTCGGGGACACGGGGGCGGCCGCCACCGCCGCCCAGCGGACACGGGCGGCCCTACAGCTCTTTGGGGCCCTCCGCCTCCGCTCCCGCACTGGCCTCCGGGCTCGGCACCGGCGCCTACAGCCCGGCGGCAAACCGTACAACCGGCTGCCCCCGGCTGCCCGTGGGGCTGCGGACGGCGATGCGGGCCCGTTGGGATGCAGCGGGAGATGTTCGGTAGCAAAGGCTGCCCCTGGGCCGGCTTTCCTGACGTTGAAAAGCCTTCTCCGGAGTGCGGCACTGAGGCCGGGATCTGCTCCCGCCGCGGTACCCAGAGAGGACCGGTGATCTTCGGGTAGGGCACTGGTGACCGGTGAATCCCAGGGAAAGATCTGGATTTTTACCAGCGAGGACACCACAAACCCCTCGCCCTGCTCCTCACGAGGGAAGGCAGGCCCCAAGCCGTCGGAAGCGGCGCAGAGGGCCGCGGCACTCTGCACATCAGCATCTCTCGTGTCGGGGCGCAGCTTCTCGTCCCGCACCGCTGTCCCGGGGCTGCGGCGTCTCACGTCGGATCCAAATGCCCGTAACGAGTTACCGGCTGAACACGGTCCCTCGTGCTCTTTGTGCTTCCCCTGCGCTCCCCGCACCCTTCCGTAGCTCTGAGCAGGACTGTTTACCCAGGAAACAAAACGCGGTGGGAAGCTTGGTGGAGGCGCACCTGCGTTGCCGCCGCAGCCGCACAGCAGCACTGTGCGGGGCCGGACTGGGCACTCGCGGGTACGGGGCAGGCAGGACAATGAGCGGGTCTGGAAGGGACCCTTCGTGTCCTCCATCTCCGAACCTTGCTCCAGGCTGACAGTGGACACCCATCACCGGGACAGCCGTCGTATGCGGAGCGGGGATGCCAGTGGCCCCACACACAGGGCAGTACTTAGTGCCGTCGCTAAACACCAGCCCCCCCAAAAATCCCTCTTGCAGTCAACCTGCCCTAATCCTTTCCGGCGCCCCCACTGCTGTGCCCCGTTCCCCCGTGGCCCCGAGGTCTGCGGTCGTGGATGATGTTTTTGGGGCTGCTCGGGTCTAGGGGCTACTGCAGGCCGGGAGGGGGGATGTCGGGCTGCGCTTCATAGGACCTTGGAAATTGTAATTACTACTAAAATAAAACTCGGAGAACTCTAAATCATTCATTATCACCTTTATAATTACTCTTCTAATTAGCCTGACATGCCGCTTCATCAGGACTAATACGACGTCTTGTCACTGGCACTTCCCATTATTCTGACATTTAGCCGGGGAACAGTCCCGGGAACACCGGATGATACTCTCCGGGGGATCCGATCCGGCGACCGGGGAATCGAGGCCCGACGGGGCGGCGGCGGCGGGGACGGGAACGGGGACGGGCCCGGGAGGGAGCAAGGGCGCGCCCCCTCCTCCCGCGTCCGTCCCCGCCGCCGCCGCCGATTGGCTGCGGCCCGCGCTGCGTCAGCCCCCTCTCGGCCCTCCGCCAATGGGGGCGGGCGGCGGCGGCGGCAAAAGCCCGGGTTTATAATAAACGGCGGGGGGGACGCGGCGGCTGTGACGTCACGGGGGGAGTCGCCGCCGCCGAGAGGAGCTCGGTGGGCACGGGCGGGCGCGCCGCAGTGGCCGGTGTCCGCCCCGCTCCGCGCCCGCAACTTCCCGCAACAAAGTTGGTTAGCGGCGAACCGGCCCGGCGGCGATGTGGGGCTCGGCGGGGGCCCCGAGTTAGTGTCGACCGCAGCGCCGGTGCGCGGGTTGGGGTAACCCGGTTTCGCCCCCCATCCCTTCTCCTCCGCCCCCGGTGAGAGACCCCCGCGGCCGCCCACGGGGATGCGGACGCGGCGCTGAGCGTTTCGCCATGGAGGGGCCGAGCGGGTCCAGCTTCGGGATAGATACGATCCTGTCGGGTGGCAGCACCGGCAGCCCCGGAGTCATGAACGGAGATTTTCGCCCCCACGGCGACGGCCGGCCGGCGGATTTTAGGAGCCAGGCCACGCCGTCCCCCTGCTCGGAAATCGACACGGTGGGGACGGCGCCCTCATCGCCCATCTCGGTGAGCATGGAGCACCCCGAGCCGCACCTGGGGGTGGCGGAGAGCCTCCCGCCGCCGCCGCACCACCTCCACCTCGGCCCACACCCGCCGCCGCCACCGCCGCCGAGTTTGCAGCCGTCGCCCCCGCAGCCACCGCCGCCACAGCTGGGCTCGGCCAGCTCCGGCCCCAGGACTTCCACCTCTTCTTTTTTAATTAAGGACATTTTGGGCGACAGCAAACCGCTAGCGGCGTGTGCACCTTACAGTACCAGCGTCCCCTCTCCCCACCATACTCCCAAGCAGGAGGGCAGCGCGGCACCGGAGAGCTTCAGGCCCAAACTCGAGCAGGAGGACGGTAAAGCCAAGCTCGACAAGCGCGACGACACGCAGGGGGACATCAAATGCCACGGTGAGTACGGCGCGGCCCGGCTTTGCACCGGCTCGGCCGCCGGTACAACCGGCGCCGCGGTGCTCGGCCGCACTGGTGGAACGAAAATCGGGGAGAAAATCTGCGGCAGGAGCGCTCGCTCTGCCGGGGCCGCTCAGTGATCCTCGCTACCGTGGGGTAAAGGTCGGTAGGAAATGAAATTAAATCAAATCGCTTTTAAAAAATTTTTCTATTTCTTTTTCTTTCTTTCTTTTTTTTTTTAATTTTAATATCTGTTGGTCTTTCCTCTTTTAATTTTTTTTTTTTTAATTTGGCTTCCCCGTTTTTAAAGAAATAGCCCGAGCAGTGGGATCACATGGGAAATCAGACTGTATTTATTTTTAATGCAAATGCACATAAATGATTCTCTGGCTTTCTAAGAACCGGCGGCTCAGCTGCAGTTAGTGCATTCAGCCTTTTTATTTATGCTTATTCTCTCTAAAATTAAGATGAAAAATTCTACTTCCCTAGTTAATAGCAAATAAGCGAAAAAAAAAAAGGACAAACCAAACCCAAACAAACCCACCCAACTTTTAATTAAAAATAAAATAATAATAATAACAACAACAACTCGGCCCGCGCTTGGCGTAGTGAGATGTGAGGGCTTTGTGCGTTTGGCAAAACCCTCGAGTTTTCCCTGCGCCGGGGTAGAAGGTTTATTTCTCCATCTTAATTATTTTGGGTTTTTTTTTTTTTTTCAATTAGGGATTTTGTGCTGATGGGGAAGCCCCCGCCGTGCGGGGTTCGGAAGTGAAAATAGCTATGTGTGTGTGGGAAGGGGAAAGGAGGAAAAGAGTGAGGAAAGGCAAGCAGGGAGAGGGTATATTTTCCCTGCGGTGTCGGCGGAGCTGTCCTTCCCGCCGGCAGCCCGGTGCAGCCGAGAGGCAACAGGACAAATTTTCCTAATTTTGCTCAATTGAGCTATTTTCGCCAGGCTCAGAGCGGCGCGGTGCCCGCCAGTGCAGCTCATTTTGCTCTTTTAGCATTAGCATACGAGTGCCCAAACCAGATGTACAGTCTGGTCTGGCCATTTTTGTGTGCACCAACCTCCCCAGTGGGTCAATTAGGGAGATTATTGTTCTTCCTGCGGGGAAGATCAAGGAGCGCCACAAACTGGGGCCCGAGTGGAGCCGGATTGACAGATCGATTTCCCGGCGTTTCGGGCCGGGGGGAGAGGGCAGAAAATAACGAAAGCCCTGTAGTTGGGAAACGGAGAGCGGGAATCCCGCTGTTCCCCGGACGGGCTCGCCGCCACCACCCCCCGCCATAATTGACCGTTCCCCCCGTGTCCCGGACAAGTCCCCGGGGAGGGGGCGGCGGGGCCCGGTAACCGGGGCGGGGCGGGGGCCGAACCGGTGTCCCGCCGGTCCTCACCGCTCTTGGGCTCACTCACAGGGACAAAGGAGGAGGGCGACCGGGAGATCAGCAGCAGCCGGGACAGCCCGCCAGTGCGGGCCAAGAAGCCTCGGAAGGCACGAACAGCCTTCTCCGACCATCAACTCAACCAGCTGGAGCGCAGCTTCGAGCGGCAGAAGTACCTGAGCGTGCAGGACCGCATGGACTTGGCCGCCGCCCTCAACCTCACCGACACGCAGGTCAAAACCTGGTACCAGAACCGGAGGTAAGGCGGCCCCGTCAGGGCGGCGGCCCCGGGGAGCCGGGGGCGGGTTTACGCCTCTGGGTTTCTGCCCGCGGGAGCCCGGGGTGGTGCGGGGAGCTCCCGGCTGCTGCCCCGCGCCCTCCCCGGCGATGGGCTGGGGGGTCCGGCTCCTGTCAACGCTGCCGTAATTTTCTGTCTCATTACATACGGTTGCAGCCACCCTAATTCTGTCGCAAACCATTAGTGTCAGCGCGTTGCGATCTAACCGTGTACCGCGGTTATTAATTTGGCCGGAGTCGCCGTATGCATGTGTCGGGGGGTGCGGGGCTCGGAGGGGAAAGCGGGCAGAGCCGGGAAGATGGCACCGTGCGCGGGCCCACGGGGACAGTGCGCTCCGTCGGAGGCGCGCAGGGGACGGGCTCGCCGCCCGCGGAGCCCCGCGGAAGCGGCCCGGCTGCCCCGCCGCGGCGCCCGCCCTGCAGCCTCTTGCTCCCCCCGGCAGGACGAAGTGGAAGCGACAGACGGCGGTGGGCCTGGAGCTGCTGGCCGAGGCCGGGAACTACTCAGCGCTGCAGCGGATGTTCCCCTCGCCCTATTTCTATCACCCCAGCCTGCTGGGCAGCATGGACAGCACGACGGCAGCTGCGGCGGCCGCAGCCATGTACAGCAGCATGTACCGGACTCCCCCCGCGCCGCACCCCCAGCTCCAGCGGCCGCTGGTGCCGCGGGTGCTGATCCACGGGCTGGGGCCCGGCGGGCAGCCGGCCCTCAACCCCCTGGCCAATCCCATGCCCGGCACCCCGCACCCCCGGTGAAACGGCACCGCGGTCCCCGCAACGAGCCCTTCCCCTCCCCGTCCCCAAACAAGCCCCAGCACCGCAGAGGAGGAAGCGAGGGGAAGCCGAGGGGCAGGAGCTTCTGCAGGCAGTCACCGGCCACCGAGGGAGGCGATCAGTCAGAGCAGGGACTCTTGAAACGTGAACCCAGAGCCGAGCCCGTAAGTGAAACGACCACACGCGGGGGAAGGCGGGCAGAGCCGCGGGGCGACCCGCCGACCTCGGCTCCTGCGAGGCAGGACTTGGAGCTCGGAGAGAGAGTTACGGAGGGGGTGGAGGAGAGGGAGAGGGAGCCCAAGCCGAGCCCGAGCCCGCCGGAGAGACTAACGGCTGCGGAGGACAGAGGGAATGAGAGCGCCTCGACCCCCGACCGGCAGAGAAGACCGGGGGAACGGAGAACTTTGCACTGATTTTTCTCATTACCTTTTTTTTTTTTCTTATTGAAAAGTGGCATGCTCCCTAATGCGAACAGAATTGTACAGACCGAGTGCTGAGTGCTATATCATATTTATTATATGTCGTCCAAAAAAGGAGAAAAAAAATCACTTCTATACGTTAGTTTAAAACGAACAAACGTGGTTCTTCCCTATCCCTTTTCATGTCTTTTTGGATTCAGTAAAATAAATGCTTAGATGACAAAATATAGATTTTTTTTTTTGTGATTGAAAAATCACAGGGGAAAAAAAAGGAAAAAAAATAAACTTTATCTTTTTTTAACAAACGCGAAAATTCAAGGTAGCTAATTTCCCCGTGACGAGAACTAAAGAAATTCGGAGTAGAATATGCAGATGCCACTTTTTTATTTTGAATATTATATTGAATATATTTTGAATTTTAGGCTCATTGTTTCTTAACAGGCGCTGTTTTTCCCTATCTGTATTTTAAAGGAAAATCAAATCCCCCGCAGGTGCGGAGCCCCTTGCTGTTATTTTAAGCACCTGGGCAGGGCGGTAATGGGTAGTGGCTCTAGCCCCTTGGGGGCGGGTGCGATGGGGCCGTGCAGAGCCTGGGGACACGGCCCCGGCCCGGCAGCTGTCTCCGCACGGAGCTGGGACAGGCAGCGAGCGCCGGCGGTCGGGGTGAGTAACGAGGGGAAACAGGCAGGGAGGGCGGCGGGGTCCCGGCGGACACGGAGCTCCCGAGCCCCGCTGGCCTTTGAACTTTACTACTATGTGTGCCCGTTCCCCCCTCCCCATCCCTTCCCCTGGCAGCTTCCCTGCCGAGCGCCTCCCTTCGCCGTGCCGGCGTGGGCCGCCCGGCCGTCCCGCGGGGGCAGAGGGGCTGCGGGTCGGGACTGGGGGCTGTGACCCTCCTCTGGACTCCGGGGACGGCTCTGTCCCCAGCCGTTGGAGGTGAACACCCCCCTGCGAAATTAGAAAGTTATACAGCAATTACCTATAAAACATTCATAAAGTCCCATATTATCCTCTCCTCTGAGGGTTTGGCGCTTCGTTGTTTTTTTTTTTTTTTTTTTTTTTTTTTTTCTTCCTCTGTCTATTTTTGCTCGTGGGTCCCCTTTCTTTTAAGATCGAAGGGGAAAAAATCCCGAAAAAAGGAAAAGAGAAGCCCTCGGGCACGTTTATTTGGGCTTTGCTAATTAGCGAGCGGCTTGCTGATTTCTGTGCTAATAAATTCGCGTTAAAACCATATTGACCTTTGCCTTGATCTGACAAAAGGGGAGCGGGTCGGGAACGCCCACTTCGGTTTTTGCCCGTGTTGCGGCGGCTGCTGAGTGTTCCCCCGCGCCTTCGCCGTGGCCCCCAGATCCCCCCCACCGTAACGGACCGAAAGCGGGACCCTGAGTGGCCTGAGCGGTCCGGCCGCCCCGCATCGCCGCCGGGCTTTTCCCGGGAAACCCATCCTGTGCGGGCTGGGGAAGGAGGTAGGAAGTATGGGCTCGTTAGGGCCTTTTCCTTCGTCTAAGCAACAAATCTTTCCTAAAGGAGGAAATCCAGCTGGAAAAGCTAGTCTCAGCTCGTTGTTCTCGATGGCTCGGTTTTGACTGCATAAACTCGCTGAAAAGTAGTGACAACAAGGAAGGAAAGTTCATGCAAAATAGATGAGTGCCCCCTCACGAGCACGGCCTGCCGCGGGGTGCCCACCGGGGCAGGGAGTATCTGGTGCTTTGGGAACGACAGCAGACAGGAGCGAGAGGAGTGAGGCGGGGCTGGGGGCTGCCGGTGTCGTGCAGGACGGTGTCCAAACCAGGGGCGCCGGAGGAGGTGGGCGAGGAACCGCTACCTCCCCTGAAACGTATTTCCAGATCCAATTGAAAAGTGCGTATAAGCGGGAGGAGGTTTGGGGCAAGAATAGTTCTCTTTCACTCCTCTTTTCCCCGTATGGGAAGTAGGGCTGCAAACATAAGTTCTTCATTTGTCCCGCTCCCCGTTCGCGCCGGGATAGAGCCGAGCCAAGGTCAGGCTGCCCTGAAATTGCTCGGCCGGGTCGCCTGGCTGCAATCTTGTAGGAACAGGTTCCGTTGCCTCTTTAAAAGCCCCGGCACGCGGGCCCGCATTACAGCGCGCTGCAGCAGGACAAAGAGCCGGGCGCCCGGCCGGGATGCGGGGCTGCCTCCCGCCGCCCGGGCCAGCGCGGTGCGCGGCACGGGCCGGGGCCGGGCACTCGGCGCCGTTGGCTGCGCCGCTTTCCCGGCCGCGGCGATCGTGTTTCTCCCCTTTCCGTTCCCGGACAGCTGCTTTCGCCGCGACCGCCCCAGACTTGGTGCGGAGCTGCTGAATTACCGCGGTCTCGGTCCCTCTCCAGCCTTTGCCCTTGCCTAGGCCAGGACCTGCTCTCGGCCCTGGAAGTGGTTGTGAACAAACAACCAAGCTCATCTGTTTCCAGACGAACGGGACGGGCTGTCTCAGCCTCAAACAGCAGTAAATACCGGCACCCGCTGGAAAAGACCTGGCTGTTGAGGAACTGAGCATGGAAACAGTCCGTGAGGCTGTAGCAGGGCTGTCTGTACGCGAGGGACCGCGGCAGCCCGCGGGGTGGCCGGCAGTGAGTGCTCTCCCCGTGCCGGACACTGGGAGCGGGGCGATTCCAGCCGCGGGGCCACCTGCGCTGCGCCGGGCGGCTGCGGCCCCGCCCGCCCTCAGCACCACGGACAGCTCCAGGAGGCGCGGGCTGCCCGGCCTTGGGATGGCGGGCGGGCGGCACGGGAGTCTCCCCTCCAGCCTCCTTCCCCGGCGGTTGCCGGCGGGCGATGGTGAAGATGAAGGAGGTTGGCACAGCCTCCTGCTGCCGCAGCACTGCCCGTCTCGCCTCCCCGCCACCCAGCACCTGGGAGAGAGTCGCTGTCCCAGCCCGGACCTGGCCCTTCGGCCCCGAGCGCGGGCTGCCTCCCGAAGGTTTTGTGCCGGGTCTGGGCTTTGCCCGCGCACCGGCAGACGGGTTTAAAAATGGGACAGGGCCGCTGCCTTTCTCCCGTGTCGTTTCGCTCCGGATTGACACCGGCATGTCCGCCGTGAGAGCCAGGAGACCCTTTGGACACCCTGTGCTCGGTTCCCCTTTAGTTTGTTTCTTCTGGGCAGTGCTGTGTGTTTTGCGAGTGGGCACGGCACAGGAGGCTCCTTCGAGGAACCCCTGCTGCGCTCAGACAGGTTCCGGTGGCTCGTTGAGCTCCGGCAGCAGAGCCGCGGGCAGGCTGCACCGCTGCCCTTGGCTGATGCGCTCTCTTGAGGGACGCAGCAGCAGGATCACCTTTAATTACTTCACCCTCTCGGGGGATTAGCCTAGCCATCGTTAGAGCAAAAAAGGAGAAGGGCGACTCCGCTGGGCTGGGGTACGGGATGGGCATTGCCTGTACCACTCCAAGGGTGCCGCTGTGGCAGCTGGGTGCTCCGAGCTTAATCTTCTTTCCCAGCCGGGCAAGCGAGTCCGGCTCAGCCGCTGGGAACCATTCAGCAGCACCGAGCGGAATTCCCTGCCGTGCCGGTTGCCCCGGTTGCGTTAAACTCACCGCCCGCATGTAACGCTGTATTGGCGTTCCGGGGCTTGGCTATCACTCCTGCAGGTTTTAATGTTTCTTGTGAGGGTGAGTTTTTAACTTTTGTTATCTTTTGCCTTTCCAGAGTTTATCTTCCTCCAAATTCACGCCACGTTTCTGTGCAAATGCGTTTACTGATGATGTAAGTCACACTAAGTCCTTATTGCAGCCCACTCGAAAACCTCGGAAACCCAGGACATAGAGTGAGTGCAGCTAGGCTGAACTCACCTGTGGAAAGAGCAAAAGCCTTCATAATGTAAGAAATATTCCCAGGCCAGAGGTGGTGAGCATGGGCGATGAATAACCGTTTCAAGTTGAAATTTAGACGCTTTCCCCCTCTATTCTGTCTTGCTGCCAAGCCCACGTTTCCCGCCGGTGATACCGCCGGGTTTCTTACCCAGCAGCCGGTTTAGAGGGGAGCTCCGCTTGCAAGAAAACGGGGGTACAGGGAACCTGGGCCACTGAGGGGGCCCTGTGCCCTCGTCCCCTGGGAGAAACAGCCTGCTCTATTTTGGCGATAGCATCGAAATGACCCCCTCGATCCCTGGAGGGGCACAGCTGATGGGGACGGAGACCCACCGGGAGCGGCGGAGGGCGGGTGTGTGACCCCCGCAGGCGCGAGATCCCCCGTGCCCCCGGTACACGAAAAAGCCCCGAAATCCTTTCCTCCTCCCTTGGGCTGCTCCAGCCGTTCAGGGGCCGTGGGGCAGCCTGAGCCCGTGCCTGTCTCTGCGTGTTTCCAGCCGGAGAGCAGGTCCAGCTAAGCGCCCATCGCATTAAAACTGCCTTTCCATATTCATATGCCCTATTTTTCACACAAGTCGCTTCTATTAATGGAAGCGCACAAACGCCGGTCCTTAAAATTTGCGGATTTCAAAGGAACCCAAGTGAGGCACTTTGCGCTGGCGGCGATGGATGCGGGGCCCGACGGGACCCCCAAGGCTCCCCCGCGGCTCCCCCGCCACCGCCGCGCCCTCCCCGGCGGGAG